ATGTTTCACAGCTCTGAGCGAATCGTGATAACTGATGTATACCAATTCTCCCGGATGTCCCAACACCAGTTTTTAACTGGTGCATACCTAGTGATCACGTGCTTTCTTTAATTGTAATTTAACCCACATGCTTCCTAATGTCACCTAGTTAGTTTATACCAAGTTTCATCAAATTTGGTTCAGTAGAAAAAATTCGGGTGTCAAAGGGTTAAATCGACACGTGCTACAAATGTACATTACGACTATAATTGCATAATGTTAGAGTCTCTATTATATGCGTAAGCACACTGAAAAAATTTACTTTACGATTTAACCACATCTTATTGCTAATAATCTGAAAATATTGATGATTAACCATAATTCTGGCTATAATTTGAATTTTTTATCATGCTCCGCAGCTCTATTTTAAATTTAAATGGTACATTAGAAATTAGCTTAAAAAACTGCATCGAATTTTTTATATGCTGTCTCGGCGTGGTTTGTCTGCAAAACGCTTACCAACTGGACGGGTTATTTTTTATGGATTTTTGCTTAGTTTTGAGTTCATGTACCAACAGAACGAGAAGGCAATTTTTCAAAGAGGGTTTTGTTGAGTGGTTCAGATAGAGGAAGCATTTTTTTTATCAGAAAAGACTCTTTTCCGAAGTTCAAATTTGTTTCTAAGGTCAGGAGAAATTCCAAACCTTAAAATGACGAAAAATGTCACATCACAGAAAAAAATTCTTATTCACTTCTCTCAGCATTTTTAAAGGAAACCAACGTCGTATTCGTAAGCAGAGTAGGCGATAACCTTTAACCCACGTTGTTTCCATGAAATTTCAGCAGAAAAATATTTCGATTCTCCTGAGGGGGACCAAAGGCTACCAATTTTTCTAAATTTTCGAAGCTAAATTAGGGAAACGAAATGGCCTAATTTGTACAGAATTCAACATTGATTCTAACCATATGATTCTTTTCTAAAAATATTTGAGGATGTAAAATCAACTTATCGCCACATATCCTTCATTCTATATACTTATTCCAAACACAAAAAAAGTTTTTTGCTTTCTGTTTATAATGTTATTGTGTATAGAGCTTCAAAAGTAGGATTGATAAATATTCTCTCTCTTCTGCAAATGAATATAACCAACAAAATTCATTCTAGAATATAATCTAAGTAATAATTGTGATTTATTCACAATCTACCATGAATATATAATATATAATATACTAAGTGAAACATAAATCAATATGTGTATGTGTATAGTTCGTACATTTGTCTTACGCATAATAGATTATAAGGAATAACGAAAAAGAAAAATTATCGTAAACATTCTTTATGTATTTATGTAATCAAGATTCATGGTCTAAATAAATGAGAAAAATTGCACATTAACATGAGAAGCTCAGTTTGAAAGTGTTACTATTATAACAAATGTATCCAATAACTACATGACTCCAGGGCTAAATAAAATAAATAAACTTTTCAGATCCAGTTATGTATTTTATACGCAACGTAATACGAAAATAGAAAAAGATAATACGCACATCAGTTTTGTGAATGTGATTGCACCAGCTGGTTGTATGTCAAATGTTTATACTGTTCTCTTCAAGAGAAGGCACAGTCATAAAAAAGACGTTTATCTTTATTCTATTTCCCAGTTATGCATTAACTTTTTAGAAGACATCTGATTCTCCACACTCAGATTTCGAATACAAAACTGGATTTGGAAAGCTTCTTTATTTTATTCAACCCTGCAGTCATGTAGTTATTGGATACATTTGTTATAATAGTAACACTTTCAAACTGAGCTTCTCATGTTAATGTGCAATTTTTCTCATTTATTTAGACCATGAATCTCGATTACATAAATACATAAAGAATGTTTACGATAATTTTTCTTTTTCGTTATTCCTTATAATCTATTATGTGTAAGACAAATGTACGAACTATACACATACACATATTGATTTATGTTTCACTTAGTTGTATGCATTCAGTTATATTCTACTAGAATGGATTTTGTTGATTATATTCATTTCTTTTCTTTTCTTTGACATAGTCGTACCATTTGCTGTTAAAAAAAACAGCTAGATAATAATGTAATTTTATGCATTTTTTAGATTTTACTTTTGTGATTTAAAATAAGACATGTTGACAATTCCCACGGAACCCATCGGCAGTATACCACGCCCTGCACGCTTAGTCAATGCACTAAAACAGGCCAACACTGATAAAAAACACTTATTACAACTGTACGATGATGCATTACGAGATACGGTTGAGCGTTTTGCTCAGACTCGCTCACCAGTCATTAGCGATGGTGAACAAACAAAACCAAGCTTTTTTACTTATCCCATTCATGAATCGGAAGAAGTGATGCCTGGTGGTATTGTTATTCAATTTTGTGATGGTCATACAAGATCGTTACCAAAACTTGTACACCAAGGTCCATTTCGATATCAAACATACGCTAACGAATATTTGACACGAGCCAAACAACTAACTAAACTACCAGTTAAACAAGCGGTGATCAGTGTTTCCGCATTGAGTCTATTATATCCGCAGTCAGAAACGATTCCAGGTTATAGTCGTGAACAATTTTTCAATGATTTAGTCAATGAAGGTGAAGCAGATATTCGAAAGTGCTTACAAAATGGTGCACATAGTGTTCAAATTGATTTCACAGAAGGTCGTTTATCACTCAAATTAGATCCAAGTGGAACTCTGCTGAAGTCATTTATCGATTTGAATAATCGTGTGTTGAATCGTTTCACCGATAAAGAACGACAATATTTAGGTGTTCATTCATGTTCAGGTGGTGATCAATGTTCCACACATAGTGCTGATGTAGATTACAGTCAACTATTACCTATGTTATTTGAATTAAATGTGACCAATTTTTATGTCCAGTATGCCAGTGAACGAGACAAGCATAGTATATTGAAACTAATTCGTGACAATATCAAACCGAATCAACGTATCTTCTTGGGAGTCATCAATGTGCTTGATGAACGGATTGAAACACCTGACGAGATATGTCAAATGATTGTAGATGCAGCACGCGTGATACCCGTCGAACAATTAGGTACTACAGATGATTGTGGTTTTTCACCGTTTTCAGATGATATGTCGAGAACAAGAGATATAGCATTTGAAAAGATTAACGCAAGGGTTCAAGGGACAAAATTAGCGGAAGAAAAACTCGTCAGGAAATGACTATTTCGTGAATTTGTCTAGTATTAAGAAGCTACAATGTAAGAAAAGGTAGCAAGTTTTTTAAGTAGTATAAATATAGTAACTTATCTAATATGCGTTTTCCGATTCTTCGATATGTACATTAACCATTTCAGTGGTGATTCTGTGTGCTTTTCAGCAAGTGTTATTAGAATATGTGAACCACGTGAAATTGTTTATAAAAGTAATGACCGCTGCCTCTTTGGTGCGTACATATTTTTACGTGTGGTGATCAGTGTTTTAATAGAAATTTTTATGCCAAATTTTCTACTATCGAATCATCGCTAGTCTACCAGCCATTAAAAACAGTGGAGGGCATTATAATGCACAAAAGTGTGTGTTTTTTTAGGAACAACAGCTAATTACAGGATTTACAGTATATGAACAAGAAGTCCATATACGTCGCTAGTTTTTAGGAACCAATGGTTAGCGTGTTCAACTATCGAAACGACTTTAGCAGTATCATTAGAATACTTCCGATTTACCGAGAAAAGTCGAGTTCATTCGGTTAAATGACAGATGTCAAACTCCCTCAAAAATTAGCATTCTACAATAAATCAGATCGACTTAACAAAATTAAGCAATGTTAAGAAGAATTAAAAATGAGATATTCGAGTAAACTAGTGCACCCAAGCAGAATTTGAGGTAAAACCATAGAGACAAAAGCGAGAAACAAGTACTCTTAAAGCAGTTAGTTACTCCTGTGAACATGCAATAAACAACGGAGGCTTTTCTGCTAGGTTTCGGGGACTCTGGCTAGGGTGAGAATGAATTTGAAGTTTTCTTACTGCTGGAAATGTTGTGGCCTGCTCACACTTATGTTCCGCCTTCTAGTCCGACCAGTAGAGATCGTGTCATTACAACTGAGCTTTGCTTCTATAAAATCGGTGTATTAGATACCCGAAAATCTCATTTTAAATATTTTTTAATAATTAAATTTAATAAATTGGCAGAAAACATGATCCTCAACGTTCTTAAGGTGAGAATAAAAATTGCAAGACTTCGTCGCTTCCGATAGGCTGAAAGACTCTGGCACTAACAACAGGCCAAGGTCAGCAGAAGATATTTTAAAAGATAGTGTTCTCTGTGAATTGAAGTGCATCTCGGTACCAAAGGCGGGTGAGTCTCTTCGAGACATGTGTAGAAAGCTTGATTTCAATATTCTGTTACGTTCAATATCGATTCATTAACACCCAAACAAAGTTGTTGTAATCCAGTATCTCACTTGGAATGAGGAATGATAAAGCTGATGATAAGTTTTAAGAAAATTCGGTAGCATTAAGAAAATTTCGTTCTGCAATAAACGATTATTTTTTTCCTTGCTATAAATGGCCGAGATTCAAAAACATTGAAAGAAAATATGACATGAATCTTAATCAAATGCACGTCAATTTTTCTCGCTTAAATAATCACCTATATAAAAAGAACTTGGTTAGCAGCTCTCAGTGTGCTTGTGGGAAGGCTGAAACAGTACTGCATTTCTTCTTGGAGTGTCAGTATTACCAGCAAATACGAACTACTTTGAAAATGACTTGAATACTCTAGCAAACGATACCCTTACTTTAGAACACATTCTCTTTCTAAAACGTCCAACATCTTTAAACGTAACAAAAATGAATGAACTATATAATATTGTAATTACATTTATTCGCAACACACAAAGATCCTCCCAGGTCGACTTTCACGGCAAAGTCGCGATGTGAGTCACGGAAAAAGTCATGGCGTCAACGCGTAACGCGATATTGGACTCACGAAAACTGTTCCGATTTTCGCGATCACTATAAACTCGCGATGAAAAGGAATTTTTCCAGTCCACTCGCGAAACTCACGACGTGACTCCCGCTGTCGCTGCGTGAATCCCATATTTTTCCCAGTATTTGGGCATGAGTCCTTATCCTCGCGATGTGACTCACGAAGTCGAGTGAGCCCCGTTTTTAGGCAGCGCGACTACCTGTTATCGCGGCGTGACCCCTGCTGTCACAATGTGACTCCTGCTGTCGCGACGTGACTGAGCAGGGAGTGACGATTTTTCTTCAGCAAGACTCCTATCGCGACTTTTACTTAATCGCGCTTGTTTTTTTCTCCTGCCCTTAAAGATTTTTCGTTTCTCAAACTCATATTTCAGTTGCTCAACTCCGATTCGACACAGAAAAGGTACTCGGTTGATTAGTTGCAAAGTGAGTAGACCTGCTTCCGTCCTTTCAGTGTGAGTTTAATTTCCATAAGACAACGCCTGCCGTATGTGAAGATCACATTCACGCTAGGATTTTCATCTGGAGTCCCAAGAGACCTGACGCTAAGTCCTGCTCCTTAGCCCGCAGGATACTCTATGCAGTCAGGTGAGCTTTTTCATGCCCCATTAAGGTGGTTCCTCAATGTACTCACTAGTCAAAAGAGAATGGGATTTTCTATCGCATAATACCTAAATTTTTCAAAAAAAGATTTAAAATGATTCTTTATGATTATTCATTTTATTTTTTCTTTAATTTTATCCATGCTCGTAATATTTATTATTAATTATTATTCTAAAATAATGTTTTATCATCTTTCTTTTAAATTTTAGTTATACTCGTGATATTTTGGTATATAATTGAGGGTTGTCAGAGTTCTAGTAAATAAAATTCGAGATTTCCACCATAATTGAGCCATCTTTTTGATCCTAAACTCTCGCGAATGTTTCTAAGTGGCTCACTCTCACCTACCTGATGCACAAGAAATTGAATTCTGATGCCTATTTCACTAAGTTCTGATGGATTATAGATGAAACACCAGATGTTAGAATCCTAATATCTAGTGTATGTCACTGAATTCTGCTATAGTTATTAAATTCTGACGAAGATATATTCCACTAAAAAAAATTGAATGAAAAATAAAAAATGAGTGTATAGGATGTTAAATTGTGCTGAGTGGAAAATTGTTACTGGAATATATCTTCGTCAGAATTTAATAACGTATAGTAGACTTCAGTGACATACACCAGATGTTAGGATTCTAACATCTGGTGTTTCATCTATAATCCATCAGAACTTAGTAAAATAGGCATCAGAATTCAACTTCTTGTGCATCAGATAGGTGAGAGTGAGCACTTAGAAACATTCGCGAGAGTTTAGGATCAAAAAGGTGGCGTAATTCAGGTGGAAATCTTGAATTCTAGGTTTACTGGAACTCGAACAGCCCGTTGTACATAGCTGTAGTTCTTGATCGCACTATGTTTTACTCGGACGTTTCTTCAAGAACACGATGCGACTTTTTGAAGTTTACATCGATCCTACGATGCGTTCAGTACTCCGCAATTTTTATCTAAAAGACATTTTTACTGTAGAACTTATTCGAATTCAAAATGAGTATACAGCAAAAATTTTGAAGATCAAGTTCCTCCTTTAAATCCTTCCGGCGTATTTCTGTTGCGATGTTGAGGTTAATCGTGAGCTGTGATAACTTTAGTGGAAAAAATTTTCATTTCGGACGAAGTTTTCTGTCCCTTATGACTCAAAATCTGGTATCAAAGTAAAGGTGAGAGAGACTGATGTCTTATGATTCGAACGTGAGCCTTACCAATAAGGTAACGTATGCCGTATGTGAAGAAAACATTCACGCTTGAACTTTCAGAGAATGCGTATTTGTAAATACTAGACGCTAATATCAGTTCGCTGCTAGAGCCAATCTAGCACCCCGTGAATGAGGTGGAATGGCTTAGCCCCAATCTTCTCTGCGTCAAACAGGACCGAAATGATACTCGCTATATTATATAAATCTTAATCTTTACTATTCTTACCAACTCAAGATTGAATTCACTAACTTTGGCTTCTCTAAACGACAAAAATGATGACATTTAAACTACTAGTACTCTTTTACTTTTTATTCTCATCGAAAATTATCCAAGCACTTCGTTGTACAGGAAATTGTGGTTCTATGAATTTATCATTTGATGATTGATTTAAACGCATTTATTAGTAGACCAATCGCCAAATGGTATTGTAGGTCCACGATTCTCATATGAGGAAGATGTGTGAGCATGATAAAAAAACATTGAAGATAGATAAATAGTACGCATAAATAAAAATTTAAAAAGAAAAAAGAAAATGGAACAAATATGTGAAATGGTCTAAATGTAAGTGAGTAAGTGTCTGTGAATAGGAAGAACAGAAAAATGGAAGATGTCATGTGCGGTGAGCGAAAACACTGATAATACAGTAAACAGTAAATCATCAGTCCGTAATGGATATTTGTCGAAGAGAAGAATCACGAAGCAGAAGATGGTTGATAGTAATAGGAGAGTTCAAAAATATTTCTTTTAGCTGTTGCAGTAATCTGACACGTGCAACACTATATCGTTTACAAACAAAAA